ACCCCCCGGCCAGAGTAACCCCGGGGGTACTCTGGCCTGGCCAGGCAGGGGTTACTCTGGCCGGGGGGGGATTAATCTGGCCTGTTACAGATGGCCAGATTAACCCGGGGTTACTCTAGCCTAGGCCAGAATAACCCCTCAGAACCCCTCCGGGGTTATTCTAGGCTAGGCCAGAGTAACCCCGGGGTTACTCTGGCCGGGGGGTTAATCCGGCCTGTTACACCGGGTCTCAAACTTTGCTTTAAAACCAGTATCTGTGCCAGAGCCATTCCCCAAGCCCTTTGCAATAAGCAAGCCATTTGCCTCTAAGCCACACACACACTGAGCCACTGAAATAAAACCCGATGGTGCTTTCAGAAGATCTTTAGCAAGGTGGAAATGAGGGCCAGGCGGAAGCTCAGGGCAAAGGAAGCAAGGTGAACAGCTTCAGACAGCGCACAGAAACTGGGTTCTTCTTACTGGCCCCTCGTAGTCTTGCAAGCTTCAGGTTGTGAACCTGGTAACTCCCTGAAGTGTTAGAACTGTTGATATATTGTGTATGGGTTTTTTGTTCATCTTATTTAAGCTTGTGAATGTATCGTATCTCTACAGCAACTGACACAATGCAAATAGTGTTTATATAAGCTGGATGTTTATTTCAATGTTAATACACAATTCATTGCACAGAGTGCTTTAGTATTTGAGTATTGTAATCCACATCTTCACCTTGCCAAATCGCATGAACACACATGAAACTGCCTTATAGTGAATCACACTCTCAGACCGTCAAAGTCAATATTGTGCACTGAGACAGTAAGCGGCTTTCCGGGTTCTCGGGCAGAGAAAGGTCTTTCGTATCACCTCCTGCCTCGTCCTTCTAACTGGAGATGCCGGGGATTGACCCTTCTGCATGCCAAGTTCATGCTCTGCCACTGAGCCACAGACCCTCTGGGACTGTAGCCCTGCAGCTACCCTTATATAACCTCAAACCTTCCACTTAGATTGGTATTAGCCACCCCGGCCGGCAGTGGCTCTCCAGGGTCTCAGGCAGAAGAAAGTCTTCCCCAACACCTGCTACCTGGAAATCTTTAATGTGAGCTGCCAGGAATGGATTATAGGACTTCCTGTACACAAAACACACATTCTTTCTTCCATTAAGCCACAGACCCTGCCCATGTGAATGGATGAAAAGGCCACAAGAAAATTCACCCAGATTGGCAAGCAAACCGATCCTAGAAATGAATGGATTTCTTTCAGGGGGCAAATTAACTACTGCAACCCATCTCTCACCAGTGAGTTCACTCGCTCACCTATTAGCTGATTGGCTGTGCTGTCCCAGCATGGAATGTTCACAAACATTCTAACTGCTGAAGGAGAAGGTTTCGGCAATATGTTAAGCACCATAGGGGCGCTGAGTGAAGCAAAAGTTGAGCTTCTGTTCCAGGGGTGTGAGGGGCTGTGTGTCATAAGCTGGGCAAACAGGCCAAGGATACTAAGTTGAACAAATGGGCCGAATGCAAAGATGCCCCAGGAGGCAGGGATGCTTAGACAGTGCTGACTGAAGCAGAGGCAAAAGATGGGAGATGCAGAGGAGGGAAAACAAACTCAAGAAGACGAGGGACGGAGAGGCAGCACGGTACAGCGTGATCTTGTCCGACCTTAGAAGCTGGTACTTGGATGGGAGAACACCGAGGAAGGCTCTGCAGAGGAAGGCAACAGTAGACCACCTCTGCTTCTCACTTGCCTTGGAAAGCCCCTTGCTGGGGTCGCCATAAATCAGCTACAACTTGTCAGCACTGGTGGACCTCCTGATGGCACTGGTATTTCTGGCCACTGTGTGATACAGAGTGTTGGACTGGATGGGCCTTTGGCCTGATCCAACATTGGCATCTCTTATGTTCTTATGTTCTTATGTACATACTTCGCAGGGTGGGGCCGTGGCTCAGTGGCAGGGCATCTGCTTGGCATGCAGAAGGTCCCCGGTTCAATCCCCAACAGTATCTCCAGTTCAAAAGGACCAGGCAGTAGGTGATGTGGAAGACCTCCGCCTGAGACCCTGGAGAGCTGTA